CCTACCCCTGCCTACCCCTGCGGAGCACCCCTGCACTCCAGAGCACAGCGCAGGCTGCATGAGAAGACACTGGGGAGGCTCCAGGATCTGTGACGGGAGTGCGGAGAGGACAGTGTGGCCGCAGTGGTGCTGGACTGAGGGGCGGGGCTGCCAGCCACCCAAAGGCCTGAGGAGAAGAGAGTGGAGATGCCGTGGACGCACTTGCCCTGGTCTCATATGAGCTCAAAGCAAAGAAGCCGAGGTGCTCCATACACGCCAGCACCCCCGCAAGACGGGCAACAGAGGACGCTTTCGACGGGGCTCTCCCTGCTACCCCAAGGGTCTGCCCTGGGCTGTGCCCTTACCTATAACCAAGAGAAAACCCAGCCACAGAATGGGACCACAAAGAGGAGGGACAACAGGGGCCTCACCTGCAACCTAGACCCACCCACCAAGTCCACAAGAGTGCTTTCCCCTCGGCACCCTTCCCCCCAATTCGCTGACAAGCTGAAGCCCACCCACCATCCTCATTTACTGAGGCACATTTAGCAGTCAAGTGTAACCCAAAAATCACAATGACAGTAAAACCAAAACACCACCTGAAGGTAAAGAAAAGGAAACGCAGCTCAATTTATAGCAGTAGACAATTCCAGACAAAAAGTAAACACGGAAACGGTGGCCAGAGATGACACATTAGATGACTTGGACTTCATTCCTATTTGTAGAGCATTCTACCCAAAACAACAGGACACACATCTCAAGCGCACTGGCACACTCTCGAGGCTAGATCACATGTTGGGACAAATGACAAGTCTCAAGGAAAGTATGAAGACTGAAGTCATATCAGCATCGTTTAGGAGCACAATGTATGAAACTAGAAGTCAACCAATAAAAAGGAAACGGGAGCAACAAATAGGCAGAGACTAAACATCGTGCTAATTGAACAACTACTGGGTAAACAAGGAAATCAAAGGGAAAACGAGACCAATGAAATGAAGGCACGACTTATCAGAGCCTAAAGGATTCAGCAAAAGTGGCACTCACTGGAAGCTTATACTAACACAGACCTACCTCAGGATTCGAAAAATGTCACGAATAGCAAGTGTAAGTTTACAGCAAAAGAACCCAGAAAAAAATGAAAACAAAGTCTATAGGAGAAAAAAAAGGAATAATTGCAATGGGCATTAAAGGAAGAGGCCAAATAATATGAAAAGTGAAAATAATGCGATCTGAAGAGAAAACAGAGTATTAAAATACATAAAAGATCAATGCCCAAGAGCTTTTCTAAGATAAACAAAATAGACTGACCTTGTCCAAGACTTATCAGAGAAAATGAAAATAAATAAGGTCAAAATTATAACAGATGCCACAGAAATACAAAGGATAATAAGACAGTACTATGAAACTCTACGTGATAATAAATTTGAACAATATAAAAGAGATGGCAAAATCATAGAATCCTCCAAGAATGAATCAAAAAAAAATTTGAACAGACCAATCATAAGCAAGGGAATTCAACAGTAATGAAAGGTCTCTTAAAAAAAAGAAAAGAAAAAAAGCTCAGGGCCTGATGGCTTCACTAGTGGCTTTAACCAAACTTTCAAACAAGAATTAATAACTACCCTCCTCACATCTCAGAAAACACAAAGGAGGGAAAACTTCCCAGCATATATTATTAAGGAACCATTATGCTGATTCAAAAACAAGATACAAAGAAGGAAGAAACATAGATAAATATCTGTGATAAGCAAAAATGCTTAACAAACTATTAGCAAAACAATTTCAACAGCACATTCACATACTCAAACACCATTATCAAATGGAATTTATTCCGGGGATGCAAGTACAGTTCAGCATACAAATATCAACTCATAAAATAGGCTGCATCAGTAAAAGGCAGGATAAAATCATATATCACCTCAATACTGTTGAAAAGGCATTGGATGGAATTCAATGTCAATTTATGATATTAAAAAGTCCTTAACTGGGCCCTCCCTGGTGGCGCAGCGGGTTAAAGCACAGCACTAGGAAGCTAAAGCCACTTCAGCATGAGTTCGATCCCTGCCGGCCCAGAGGTGACCCACATGGCACGGCAGACTTCTCCTTGCCAGCCCGCTGCTCCCCTCAGCTGGGTACTTCATCAGCCAGCCTGTTCTGTTACCCATTCTGTCTCTAGTGAGTCCTCTCATCCCCCCTGCATCTCTGGCCTGTACCCCAGTTCTGTGTGGTCAAATAAATAAATCTTTAAAAAACAAAAAAAAAGCCATATTGGCTAAGGAAATAAACAGATTTAATACAATACCTATCATAATAACATAACATTCTTCACAGACGATGGTAAAAATACCTAATAATGTATTTGGAACTATAAAAAGCCTCAATAGAAAGAGACACAAATACAGTGGAAATTATACAATCATTGACTTCAAACTAGACTACAAAGCAATAGTAACCAAACACCAAGAGTTTTGGTTAACAGATATCAATGGAACATAACTGAAAGCCTGGAAATAAACCCATACATATAAGACAGTAACTTATAATAAGGGAGCAACAAGAATCTGAAGTGCAGGAAAGTGCCTTTAATAAGTGCAGTGGGAAAACTGGGCAGCCACATGCAAATGAATAAAAGGCTAGTGACCAAAATATAGGAAGAGATAATGAACTCCAAAAAAAATAGTAAGGGCCCAATTAAATGTACTGAAAATCTGAATAGACGCTTCTCCAAAGAAGACATACAGATGATCAAAAGACCCAGGAAAATATGCATCATCTATATAATTAGGCAAATATAAATCAAAACAATAATGAGAAATCACCTCAATCATGTCAGGATGGTTATTCAAAAGACAAGAAGCAACACATGTTGGGACAGGTTCCTTATACTCTTGGTAGGAATGTACATGGGTGCATCGATTATGTCAAGCAGTAGCCAGGAGTTGAAAACAACCAAACTGCCGATCAACAAATGATTGAATAAAGATGTGATGACATGCACACAGGGGAATACTACTCAGCCACATAAAAGCTGAAATCCTGCCTTGGACAACAACATGGATGCCCCTGGAGGGAATTAAAGTTAATTAAGTCAGTTAGACTGAGAAAGACACCTATGATATCACTTACATGTAGTTCAGAAAGAAATGAGACAATGACTTAACTAAATAAAGCAAAAATAAAATTTTAGACTTTAAGACCAAATTAGTGGTTACAGGAGGGAAAGGGAAAGTAGGCTGAGTAAATCAGGTACAAAATGTCGATTCTATGGTGAAGAGAGAATTATAATTGTACCGATGAACATACTGTACTATACACAGATGTTGTGTTATCGTGACAAACACCTGAAACCTACATTAGGTTATTTTCCATTATTGATAAAATTTTTTAAATATTAATATGTATAAGCAAATAGATTATTCCCAACTATCCAGAAGGACCAATGTATGACAATGTGAGGAAATTAAAAGTGGAAGACTTAAAAAGTGGACATAAAGTTGAATGTCATCTACTTAAAAGTAGAAGAGAATGGGAGAACATGAGATCAAAGATATTTAATGTGAGGCTCCATGACACAAGCTATGCAACGGCTATCATCTGACAGATTCCGGATAGCTCGGGAAAAGCTCTGAAATATCAGAATTTCCACTGCTAACTTATGTTATGACCTCCCTTTTTTGTATAATCATAATATCAAAAAATATTGTAGCAACATCAGTTTGAAACTGGCTTGCCTTAGCTCTAAATTGGCTACCTGGCCTGGGCAAAGTACAAGCTGAGCTGCTCCTGGGCAGGAAATTCCTTTGACTGAAGACAAAAGGCAAGCTCCTGGAGAGATAAGACCCCAGAGCATCAAGACTCCTGGAAAACTTCTTTGGTCTTTTGACAAAAAGCGATTCTTAAGATAACTCTCAGGGATAAGGACCCATGGGCAATTTCCTAACATTATCAACACAGGTTTTTCTTAATGCACAACTATGTAACTTCTTCTGAATTTACTCTTCTCCTAAAACTATCACTAACTACTCTCTGCTAGTCTTATTTAACCTCTTCCTAAACAAACACTAGCTACTCTCTGCTAACCTTAAGTTAACCATTAGCTTCTCTTTAGGCTATCACTGACGACTATGCTAACACAATTTATTCCTTCCCTAGGACTCTTAAATCCTTTGCTAACAGCTCATCCTTTCCCAGACCCTGATCCTTTAAAGTCACAGTTAAACATCCGTATACATGAAAGTTATCACAAACATGTATAGTATAGTGTGCCATAAAGTAGAAGGAAAAAGATGCATTGTTCCCCTCTTCCTTTGAAACTTTTATGTCGGTTTCTTATTAACTTACCTAAGGCATTATTGTAACTAAATCTTGCTAAACAGTATAAATAAAGACCTGCAAAAAGATGAGCAGGAAGATTTGCACCCAACTCCGACTCCGAGTGTCTTCCTCACTCCCTCTCCCCTTATTGGAATTTCTGCACGCCGACACCTTCCCATCTTAGGGTCCTGCCTGTCCTGCCTCCAGACACCTCAAAAGTTGGAGCTGGTCTCCGACAGCTCCACCATTTCTCCATGAATATAGAGCCAAAGAACGTAGTTACCACTAGACAGTGGGAAAGGCAAGAAGAAGGGGTCTCCCCTGGAGCTGCAGAGAGGAAGCAGTCCTTGTGACCTCCAGAAAAGATAATAAAGATATGATGTGTTAATCCAATAGGTTTAGTAGTCTTTTGACACAAAAGAAAGAGAAAACTAAAAAATGTAAATTCCATCCTTTAAAAAACCCAACTATGTGTTATTGCAAAATATCCATTCCCCAAAATTTCCATTTTCCTCTCCCAAACACCAAGATGATGTTCTCCTGGGGTGACTCTCAGCTCCTCTCCCCATTCCTAGTGAACAAACCCTGATTCCGAAGGAGAAATTGAAGCTTGAAACCTGGTTTTCAGAAAATATCCTGCAAAGTGGAGACCACGTGACACTCCCAGGGACAGGAGGGCCAGTGGTATATGAGGGGGTGTCACATACCATGGACAGTGAGCTGGAAACCTTGGCTAATTCCTGTGCCATCTTTTAACTGAGGTCGAGCCCAGTACCGCCCGCTGTCCTCAGGGGTCAGGTTCTCGATCCGCAGGGACGTCGTGTTGGGCACGCGGACCCTCTGCCCATACTTGTCCTGGAGGCTGAACCAGGTCAGAGACGGCCCATGCTGGACGCGCAGCATGACGGTGAAGTTTGTATCAGCTCCAACGCCCCACTGCATCTCCAACAGCTCAGTTGCCTGGACGTGGCTCATGTGAAACAAGACAGCTCCTCCTCGGACCCCCTGCAGGGGCAGGTCGGCTCCAGGGACTTTCACCCTGGAACTCTGGGCCCCGGTGCTGCTGGTGCCTAGGGCATGGAAACAGGAATTATGGGTCTCTTTTGTTTCCAAGAATAACTGAGACTTCAGTGAAATCCTTCACTATCCTCCCTTGGCTGTTGGGAGACCCCTAAATTCGTGTCAACACGAGACACTCCGAATTCAGAACAGTGCTCTAGAAGGTGCTACTGGCTCTCCCTTTGTAGGCTCCAGCACCCTCCCGGTTCCCTCACTAAGTAGGGTAGAATAAAGGTATTCCTTAGAACATGCACTTCCTCGTCATAGTCAGTGTTGTACAGTGTTGAAATATCCAAATGCTGGTGCAACAAAGAACACTAAACATTTCACCAAAGAATCAGCTCCCGGGCCACGTGTTGGGGGAGGATGTGCACGGGGACCTGATGAGACAGCACTTCCGTCCAATGTGGGGGCTTCTGGGAGACTGCCCCCAGGAGTTCTGTGTGTCTCATCTCTCCCACACACACCCCAAAAAATTCATAAATGTGACATCAGACCTTCACCAGAACTTTCCAGCACCTTTTTGCTAAACCCACCACTTCACAACCCCCATATCGTCCTTTACGCCTCCCCAAGTTTATACCTCTGTACCCCTGTTAACAATCTCCATCTTCCCACATTCTCTCCAGGCTGCTGTAACTGGCCATAGGAACACCCTCAATTCTGAACTTTGCTGTTGCTTCTCAAACTGGGGTTCCATGGTTCGGCCCCTTCCCTTATGCAGTCCATGATGCCACCTTGGAGAACTGACATTCCCCGGACACCTGGGCCCTGTGCCCATGTTATCAAATAACATGATGCCCCACAGTTTAGTCACCCCAAACTGATGGGAACCCCCATATTGACAGGAAACTTGAGGTCTCCAGGACCTGAATAACATTTGGATGGAGAGAGATTCAGCCACAGGCAGGAGGAAGGACCCCTAGAAGATTCACTAACCAGAAAGCAACTACTTAATACATGTTTATGAATTTAAACACTGTAGTGAGAGATAGAATTCAAAAGCACAGTTAATTTAACCCCGAGACTCAAGGAGCCTCTCCTGCGTGCTGCGTGATGGTGTCGTGGTCTGACTTGCTCCCAACCCAGAGGAGCTGTGATCACTCTCAGTGGAGGAGCCCAAGACCCCTGGCGAGTGTTGGTCCCTCCAGCTCAGATTACAGGTTCCATGTTGGCCCCTTGTCTACATGACAGCCACAGAGGCTCTGCATCTCCCCTCTGAGATGAGGGCAGGGGTGCCCTTTCCAGCCCCACCCCCAGGAGTAATCATCTTTGCCTCCATCCCTTCCCCTGGTGGCTCCAGGCCAGCTGTTTCCCTGGTATCCCCACAAAGCAGATGATGACCCTGCCCTGAGCCCAGCCCAGGCTGACCCAGCTCAGGGCCCATGTGCCCACAACCAAAATATCCATCTCGTCTTTTCCACTCACTCAGGGTTCTAAACCAGATTACTGCATTTGCTAAAATTAAGACAGACTTGTTTTGTCTCTTTGCTCACCAGAGACATCAAAACCCACACCAGGGGACAGAACAGCTGCCTCCTGCTCCTCCCTGCTCCCTCCCGCCCAGGAGACAGGGCCACTCACTGAGGAGGAGGCTGCTGAGTCCCAGGATCCAGGACACCCAGCAGGGGCGGGGGTCCCATGTGCGGGGCCCCATGCTGGCTGCCGGTCAGTCTGTTCAATTACAGAGGAAACATCTAGAAGGCAGAGAAAAGAGCAGAGGAAACACTTTACTCACATGACCCTCTTGTCTCTTCCCCCACCCAAGGTTGTGGCTGAAATGTTAGTCTGGCTCCTCTCATAACAAGCCACTTGGGTCCTTCCTGCTCCCCAGCAGCTACCGCAACCTCAATCTACGACTGCAGCAGACACATATGAACAGCCCCGCTCCTGTCTGGCACCGGCGCCCTCCATGTGGTCAAACCAGCTTGATCACAGGCCCTGACCCTGCACCAGCTCCATACCCTCACCTGTGTCCAGAGTTAGCAGCCCTGCCCGCCTCACCAGCCTGGGCTCAGGTCCAGGAGTCACACTCACAGGAAGTGAGATCAGCCCTGGGGACTGATCTCAGGCCCAAGCTCCTAAATGAGTCAAATTTCCTTGTAATGTTCTAAAAACTTCAACTGTCAGTGACCTAATCAAGCAGCTACTGAGCAAAATGACTAAGTTGGTAGAGGTGTAAACTTCTGCAAATTGTCACTGACCTATTTCACCTATGAGGCTCCCAGCACCCAGGAGGGCCATGCAAGGGGAAGCCAAACCCCCTCAGTGGCGGCCCCAGGCCCAGCACTTCCCTTGTGCCTCTGCCAGCCCTGCTCCTGCCTTCAGAGGGGCGGGGACAGAGGCCTGCTCAGCCTCCTGCCAGGCCCAGCTCCCTAGACAGCACCGCCGCCTGCTGAGGGCCACGGCCTGCACGCTCCCCAGTGGACACCCCACAAAGCTGAGAGCTCTCAGCTCCCCCACCCTGGAGAGCAGCACCCTCTCCTTGACCTCTCAAGGCCTCTGTCCCTGCCCACTGGGGCTCCCCTCGCCTACCAGGTGAGCAGCTCCATGCTGGTTCCACAGGACAGACCCACCACCTACACTCAAGGGGTCAGAGGGGTGCGGCAAACCCACCTGTGGATGAGACGCCGAGTCCCAGAGGGCTGAGAGACCTGCAAAAGGTCACCTGCCCTCTCTGTTTCCAGCTCCCAGCTGCCTCTGCTTTATCTAGTCACTGAAGAGCCCTCCAGAATATTCCTCCTTCAGTCACAGGGCTTTCAGCACAGAAGCTGAAGTTCATGTTGTTTTCATCCATTTCTTCTTCTTAGTTCAAAGAACATCTTTATGAGCATTACTTTGAAGTCTTTACCAGGTAAAGTACAAATTTGCATTGTTTGTTTCTATTTTTAATTTCAACTTGATTACTCTGTCTTATTCTACCTCTAATTTCACTCGAAGTTTATTCTATGGACTAAGTGAAACAGCTCTCTCTCTCCCCCATATTGTGGGATAAGCATTATATAGAAGACACTCATGTCTTTTTTTTAATACAATAGTTTATTTTTACATCATTTTGTGCCTTTTTCCATCTCAGTTGTGATCTCTATGGACTTCCCATCACCCAATCACCCATGTGCTACCACCATAGCCCAGTGCACTGCCCCTCTCCCCCCCATTTTTGGTCCCATTCCCCACTCCACCAACCGTTAAATGTCTCTGGTATATAGTTGCTCATTATTATTTTTTTTTTTCCCTCTGGTCCTTTATGCTCCTGCTATGAATGAAACCATCCGATATCTTTCTTTTTCTTTCTGGCTTATTTCACTAAGCATGATCCCTTCCAGCTCCATCATGTTGCTGCAAACGGCATGTGTTTATGTTCTTTGATTACTGAGTAATATTCTATTGTGTATATGAACCACATCTTTTCAATCCAGTCATCTACTTTGGGGCATTTGGGTTGACTCCATTTCTTCCTATTGTAAAGAAAGAGCAATAAACATGGGGGTGCAGTATCTTTTTGAATCAGTGTTTTTATGTCTTTGGGTAGATATCTAGGAGTGGGAATGCTGGGTCATAGGGAAACTCCATGTTTAGCAGTTTGAGAAACCTCCACACAGTTTTCCATAGTGGTTGCACTAGTTTGCATTCCCACCAGCAGTGTAGAAGAGTTCCTTTTTCTCCACATCCTCGCCAACATTTGTTGTTGCTAGTTATTTGAAGATGTGCCATTCTCACTAGGGTGAGGTGGTATCTCATTATGGTTTTAATTTGCATCTCCCTTACTACAAGTGGTGGTGAAAAATTTTTTCATATGCTTCTTGGTCACCTGCATTTCCTCTATGGAGAAGTGTTTTGTTTTGTTTTTTTTTTGTTTTTTTTTTAGCTCTTCTGCCCATTTTTTATGGGGTTGCTTATTTTTGTTGATTTTCATCAGTATATCTTTGTGATAAATCCTTTATTGTTGGTATTGTGAGAGAAAAATTTTTCCCAATCATTGGGATGTCAGTTTGGTTTTTGTAATGTCTCTTTTGCTGTACAGAAGCTCTTTAACTTGATGTAGCCCCATCTGTTTATCCTTTCCTTCATTATCGTTGTGTTGGTTGCTATATCATTAAAGATGTTACTGAGGTGTATGTCATGTAGTGTTTGCCCATCTTTACTTCCAGGTATTTTGTTTTCTGTTCTTATGTCTAGGTCTTTAATCCACTTCAAGTTGGTTTCTGTACATGGTGTGAGGTAGTGATCTAGTTTCATTTTTTTGCATGTAGTATTCCAGTTTTCCCAGCAACATTTGCTGAACAAACTTTCTTTGTTCCATTGTATCTTCTTTGCTCCTTTGTCAAGATTAGCTGCCCATAAACCTGTGGGTTTATATGTAGATTTTTCTATTTGAACCCACTGGTCTGTGTCTGTTCTTGTTCCGGTACCGTGCAGTTTTGATTATTATGGCTTTGTAGTATTGCCTGAAGTTTGGAATTGTGATGCCTCCATTCTCTTTCTTTTTAGTCATGAATTTTAGCTATTCGAGGTCTTTTATTGTTCCATATGAATCTCATCGATATTTGTTCTATTTCTTTGAAGAATATCATTGAGACTTTTATGGGGATAGCATTAAATCTGTATATCACTTTTGGTAGCATGGTCATTTTTAATGTCAATTCTCCCGATCTATGAGCAGAGGACATATTTCCATTTCTTGATATCTTCTTGTATTTCTTTTTTTTTAAGATTTATTTATTTATTCATACAGAACTGGGGTACAGGCCAGAGATGCGGAGGGTAGGAGGAGCCACCAGAGACAGAGTGGGGAGCAGAACAGGCAGACTATCGAAGTACACTGCTGAGGGGAGCAGTGGGTGGGTCAGGAGAAGTCTGCCGCACCATGTGGTCACCTCTGGGGCAGGCGGGGATCGAACTCATGCGGAAGTGGCTTAAGGTTCTTAGTGCTGTGCTTTAACCCGCTGTGCCACCAGGGAGGGCTACTTCTTGTATTTCTTTTAACAGTGTTTTGTAATTTTCTTTGTATAGGTCTTTTACCTCCTTTGTTTGATTCCCAGGTATTTGATCCTTTTTGTTTTCATTGAAAAGGGGATTTTTATTTCTGCTTCTTCTGATTGGTTGTTTGTGTATAGGAAGGACTCTGACTTTTGTATGTTGATTTTATATCCTGCTACCTTACTAAACTGGTTGATTGTTTTGATTAGTTTCTCTATGGAGTTTTCCATGTAAATTAACATATCATCTGCAAATAAAGACAGTTTTACTTCTTCTTTCCCTATTTGGGGTCCTTGTATAGCTTTTCCTTGTCTTCTTGTTCTGACTAGAACTTTCAATGGTATGTTGAAGAGCAGTGGTGATAGTGGACACCCTTGTTTTGTTCCTGGTCTCAAAGAAAAGGCTTTCAGCTCTTCTCCACTGAGGAAATATTGGCTGTGAGTTTGTCATATATGGCTTTTATTATGTTGAGGTAGGAGATACTCTTATCTTGACCCCCCCCAGCTTTGTTTTCTCTCAAATCTTTGAGATTATATAAGCAGCCTGAATTGCTTTTCTAGCTAGGTCCTGGCTGTTGAAGATTCCAAGGGCTCTCCAATTGTGGCAGATCCACAGGGCCCAGAAACATAGTCCCCCTGAGGTGCTCTCTGGGTGTCCTCTGTGTAGGCAACACTTGCCAGCTGACCTGTGTGGGGTGACTGGTGTGGGGTTGGGGTGGTTCACCTTTGTCTTTAGTACATTACAGGGATATCATGAGTCCCCTATCAGCAGGATGTGGGGAGATCTCAGAAACAGCACCCACCAGCACCTCCATCCCACAGAGATTTCCCACAATTTCCTGCCTCTTGCTAACTGCAAAATTAGCAAATGAATCCCTTTTACATGTGGTCTAGTCTTCTCTAACTGCTGCCTCAGGGAGTGAGTTTGTTCAGGCCCCTTAAAGTGGAACTTCCATTCCTTAATTCCTATGGTTCTCCTCAGGGCACACTCTGTTTGACAGGGAAACTGTCTCTCTGGTGCAGTTCCCAAGGTTCGGGGGTACTTGTGTAGGACACAAACCCTTTGTTCCTCAGAAAAAGCTTTGTGTTTATGCTATCCCTCCTGATGGGAGTGCCAGGGCTGGGATGGGGAGGGGTCTATGGCACAATTGCACTTTGACTCTCTACCTTTGTCAGAGGGAATTTCTCCATATGTACCTACAGATTTATTGTGTCTTTAGTAGTAAGTGAGTTCAGGATCTTTCCACTTGCCATTTTTAATACCTCCCAAATTTCAAGTTTATTGAAGCTTGTTTTATGCCTGACATGTTATTTTAGGGGGAGGGGTATGTCCCATGCTCACTTGAGAATGTGTAACTGATAAATATTGAGCAGCTCAATAGGTAGTGGAGAGCTCTACAGTGACTGTCAGTCTCATTGTTTTGTTCTGCTATATTCTCTTCCATATGACTGGTCTCCTCCAAATTCTCATCCATTACTAAAGCTGGTACTAAAGCAGTTGTTGCCCATCATTTTTTGCCCACATTAGTTGGAGGCTCTTCTTGTGGATTCATGTTTGTTTCCAACTGTAATGTCTTCTTGGTAAGCATTAGCAAGATATATTATCATTACGGAATAATTTTTTCTCTAGTGACAGTATTTGTCCTAAACTCTATTTTGTCTGATACTTGTATTTCAC